GTGTTTTGTTCACCATTAGATTCTACTCCGCAGTCAGCTTCTTCTTCACTGCCTCTTCAGGTTTATAGTTGCCGAAACCAATCACAACCACCACCATGTGACTCTACTCAAGTGTCAACTACTCTGTCTCCTCCGGATGTGACACTTGAGTCTGACCTTCCCATTGTCCTCCGAAAAGGTATTCGTTCTACACGTAATCCCTCTCCTCATTATATTGGTTTGAGTTATCATCGACTGTCATTACATTTTTATACATGTCTTTCCTCTCTTTCTTCTATGACCATTTCAAAAACTGTCCGTAAAGCTTTAGCCCATCCTGGTTAGCGTCAGACCATGTTAGATTAACTAAGTGCTCTTCATAATAGTGGAACTTGGGAATTTGTCTCATTACCGTCTGGGAAATCTGTTGTTGGTTGCAGGTGGGTGTTTGCTATCAAAGTTGGACCTGATGGTACTATTGATCGCCTCAAAGCTCATCTTGTGGCCAAAGGTTATACTCAAATTTTTGGGTTGGATTATGGAGATACCTTTTTCCCAGTGGCAAAGATGACTTATATTCGTTTATTTATCGCCATAGTCGCTCTTTAACAATGGCATTTTTATCAACTAGATGTTAAAAATATTTTCCTCAATGGTGATTTGCAAGAAGAAATCTATATGGAGCAACCTCATGGGTTTGTTGCTCAGGGGGAGTCTTCTGGGATGGTATGTCATCTTCGCAAATTCCTATATGGCCTAAAACAGTCTCATAGGGCCTGGTTTGGAAAGTTTAGCAAGGTTGTTCAACAATTTGGTATGACTCGGTGTGAAGCTGATTACTCTGTCTTTTATCGACACTCAAGTGCTGGATGTGTTTACTTGATAGTATATGTTGATGACATCGTTCTTACAGGTAGTGACAACCATGGCATCTCTCAGTTGAAACAACATCTCTGTCACCATTTTCAGACCAAAGATCTTGGCAAACTTAGATATTTCTTGGGTATTGAGGTGGCACAGTCCAATGATGGTATTGTTATATCTCAGAGGAAGTATGTCATGGATATTTTAGAGGAAAATGGGTTGATGAATTGAAAGTCTGTTGATACGCCCATGGATCCCAATACTAAACTTTTACCAAATCAGGGGGAGCTTATACCTGATCCTGAGCAGTATAGAAGATTGGTTGGAAAATTGAATTATCTTACAATTACTCGTCCTGACATTTCCTTTGCAGTTAGTGTGGTAAGTCAATTTCTTAATTCCCCATGTGAAGATCATTGGAATGCAGTCATTCGTATCTTAAAGTATATTAAAGGATCTCCTGGAAAAGGATTGCTATATGATTCTAATAATCATACAAGAGTTGTTTTCTACTCAGATGCTGATTAGGCAGGATCTCCTTCGGATAGAAGATCTACATCTGGATATTGTGTCTCCATTGGTGATAACTTGGTCTCATGGAAAAGTAAGAAACAAAGTGTTGTGGCAAGATCTAGTGCAGAAGCAGAATATAGAGTTATGGCCTCAGCTGCTTGTGAACTTGTTTGGCTCAAGCAATTGCTTAGAGAGTTACAATTTGGAGATGTCACTCAAATGTCACTTGTGTGTGACAATCAGGATGTTCTTCATATTAGTTTCAATCCTGTCTTTCATTAGAGGACCAAACACATTGAGATTGACTGTCATTTCATTCGAGAAAAGATTATGTCTAGAGACATCAAGACTGAGTTTGTTAACTCAAGTGATCAGTTAGCAGATATTTTTACTAAATCTTTACGGGGTCCTAGAATTGATTATATTTGTAACAAGCTTGACACATACGATTTGTATGCTCTAGCTTGAGGGGGAGTGTTAGATATTGTTTAGATATTATTTAATATTGTTAAGATATTGTTAGATATTAACCATAATATCAAACAATATCTTCTGTTTATTCTGTTACTTTCAATTACTTTTTTAGTTGTATCTCTCTACTATAAATAGACTACCCTATGTGTGATTTATACACAAGGGAGATTAATCTCAAACTCTATTTCTTCTATATTCAACAGCTTATAAAATTTAATTACATTAAAATTAACATTTACGTTAGATCATCTTTAATATCGTTTCTTGTAAAGATTATTTTTAATTAAGCAACATTACAATTTTTTTTGTCGTGAATTAAAAACATTAATGAAAAAAAATATGAACATATAACGTTAATTGTAAGACGCATAAAATTAAACACTCTTAACAGTAAATTAAGATAAAGAATCAATTTAACTAATCATGCATTGTGTTATGAATGCTCTTATAGGCACTAAGATATTATTAATCTTTTTCTCGAGGATTAAAATTTTAGATATAAATAATATCAAATGCTTATAATTATTTTATTTAAAAAAATAGAACTGTAAAATAAAATGCCATACAGATAACTTATTAACAAACTCTTGCAAAGATCATCACGTTTTGATCAAAACAGGTTAGCATGATGACCTTATTTATAATTTGGCGGAATTGGGTCTGGTTCACAACCAAAAAATATGCATCTGGTAAGCAAAAACCAAAAATTTATCTTTTTCTCTAATCCCTTTTTGGTAGAGATGGGCAAATTCTCCAGATCCAAGTTTCTTCCTGAGATTGAGGAATTAAACCTGCAATAGGTACAGGGCATGTTTAATTTAAGTCATTCATTCTTTTTTGTGGTACCTTTTTTCCTGATTCAACAACATTAAATATGAGGGGGGGAAAAGTTTCTGGTTGCAAAATTTGGCCCAGCTTGGTCAAAATATGGAATGACATACAATTAAGTATCCTTCACATGCTTTTTCGTGTTTGTCAGTTGGTTCTGACATTGAATAATTTTCCTTTTACAGACTTTGTGCCCTTCTGATACATTTGCAATAGTCTGTCTCATAATCTTTACTTATTATCATCTTCTCACAGTGGATTTCTTTATGCATTTCTGTGTTTCTGTGTATTTTGGCTTCAACCATTAGGGTATCTTAAGCAGACACGAACACCTGCTGAGCCATTGAACATCGTAAAATAATTGATTTGTTATAATTAATAGATCAGAATTACTTCTTGAATTATTGAGAAACCTACTAAAATTATTAATTGCATTATAGTATTTCGATTAAATAAAAATCGATTTAAAAAAAAGTGTCAAAATGAAAATTTCTAATTATATATTTATTAAGTGGATTAAAACAAAATATATTTTACATAAAAATTTGAATTGAAATTAGTAAATTATTTAGAAAACATCAATTAAAGACATTTAGGATTTGTTTTCTTCATTTTTCCTCTTTTGCAATGACTACGTCTAATTAAGAACTTTAATTAACTTAACAATATTCATATTACCTACTCAAATCATCCATGTTGATTCCTCACACATGAAATTCATATAAAAACCTAATAAATATTGATTTCACACATAAATAAGAGATTTTTCAGTATTAGGTTTAGGGTGTTAAACAATTGATACATTCCATTCTTGATAATTTACGTAACAAATATTCTTACCATGGTCTAGGGTTCAAGATATATTTTTCAATCATATCTCAAACATCAAAAATAAACATTCAAAAGCCTAAAGAATAAGAATAACAACATGAAAAACATAGATTAATATATCAAAATATCACCAAATTACAAAAGATTTTAAAGGAAATGCACTCAATCCCAAGAGAATGAATTTAATCACTCACGGTAGTCATTACAATGCTTTAAAATAAAGAAGAATTGAAGAATCATTGAAAAACAGAACAGCAACCGCACTTCTTCTCCAAAAACCTAAAAACAAGGTCTCAAAATGCGTCTTATCTTTTTATAGAAAATATTAAATTTGTACTCACGTCACTTGCTCAAACATCCATTATTCACTTGAAGGAAAGGTTATAGTGTGTAATAAATAAATATCCTTAGGACTTTCTTTTAATATAGTATCATGAATTATATTGTATTAATGAGGAAAAAATATACTTTGTTATTATTTCAACAATTTCCAGTGACGGAATTTTTATCTTTGGGTTCATCAGCAGGGTTATTATGTGCATCGGTTTGTCAGTCATGATAAATATGTCCAGCATTGTTGTAGAAAAACTTGGAAGCTGAGCTTTAATTTTGACGTGCATCTAGCTAGATACAATGTTTGAGGGTAGTGCTAATGGAATACATAGCAAAGTTTTTCTTTTTCTTGAGAAAGGGAGATTGATTACTGGTAGTTAATTTCATTATTCAATTTTCTAATCATAAATCCTTGTTGAGATGAGTATATAATGTTCAATACAAATATATATATATATATATATATATATATATATATATATATATATATATATATATATATATATATATATTATCATGGTACTACACTGCTTTTTCCTTCATGCTTCAATGATCTATTGCTTTCAAACTTGTTTTGAATTTGTTCCTGAATGGTACTGAATTACTAATTTACCAGCATAACATTTTTAGTGTTGTACTATATTTGTTAGAATGCTACTCATTCAAAATCACAACATGTGAGTTCTGAATGCATAATATCTGCTATAAAATCCAATCACATGTGTGAATAGAGAACGATCTTCTTGGTAAAGTGTGAACCTAAAATGAGCCATCACCTAGTTTGAAACTTCTGAGAATCAAGGTATTTAATCTAGTTATACAATTATTCATCATAAATCGTCATATAAAATGAAGAAAAAAAAAATCAGCGCGTAGTGAGGTAGTTACTAGTTACTGACAAATTAGGCATAGTGGTTTAAGACATGAAAAATACTGAAATGTGCTACTTGATGAATTTGTTAAGAAAGTATTTAGGTGGGAAATAGGACATCTTTTATGAGAATCTGAGCAATTTGAGATTCACATGATTGGACCAAAAATACAAGAGAGAATGCAATGAGGCCATAGAGTCATCGTAAGAGTCTTAAGCATATATAAATTACATACAGCTAACAGTGATATAAAAATTTCGCTTGATCAATGAGGGGAAGTAGAAGAGAGAAAAGGACTATACAGTGTCAGTTTCTATACTTCCTGGTTTCCAGTGTTGTTCCATCTTTAAGGCTTTCCTGTGCATCATTGTCCATGCCAAGGCTGAAGAGAGCAGCTGCTTGAAGATAGTATGCAGTGGGCCAGGTGGGAGATATTGATTGAGCTTGCATGGCATCTCCAAGTGCTTCTTGTGCCATGTCATTCATCAGGTAGCATAAGCAGCGCCTGGCATACACGGTAGGTGACACCATGGTTCCACCATCGATGAACTACACACAAAACAAGAATAGTGAATTTCTGTCTAACAAAAGAAAGTTAGCATGTATATCCATTAACCACTGATCACTCTTCATTTACAATGCTTTGCAAGTAATGGAGTGGAACATATGATCTATGGTATTGTTAAGTTTAACCAGCTTGGGTAATGTCTATTCTGAAACATTTCTCCCTCGTTTTGCAACTTGGAAGATATATAGTATCATTTAAAACTGTCCCAAACATTAGTTTCAAGGTTTTGGATGATTATAAAGTACCCTTTATTCTACCAAGCCATCATATTATTGTTGTAGCCAAAATATTTAATCTAGTAAAGGCAAATGTTGGAGGACATGTCAGCAAATACTTCATTAAGAGACAATGGAAAAGTAATTATTTATTTTGCAGCGTTCAAGGATAGAAACTTTGACGTTACAAAGAATTGTGGTTTGGATGTTTTGAAAACATATTCTGGATAACCTATTCCTAGCATTTCTAGCTGACTTACTTGTGTATAGCAGTCGATGGCTGTAGATAAGTCTCTAGCATGGAAAGCAGAATCACCTTGCTTCTTAGAATTTAGAGTTTCTTGTATTTGATTTGTCCACATTTGGAAAGAAAGCTGTGACACCATGAAAGGAGACAAAATACAAATCCATCAATATCATTTTACAAGAAATGTGGTCCAGCTCTGCTATAAACTACAAAAAAAATTAGCAAAAAAACACATTGTGTTTCATACGACAGAACTTGTTTCCCTAAAATGGTGGTATTAGAAAAGTAGAGCCAAAACCAGAAGATGGCATTACCTAGAATGAACAAATGCAAAGGTAAATTGTCATAGATAAGAAAGATTTACGACACAATGTCTTTAGTTACCCATGACCAGTGTCTTTTTAGCAAAATATCACACGAGTCTATGTATAGACCAAATGCAGATCATTTGTTGTGACCATTTTTCAACAGTGAAAAAGAATTTGCCACTTCATTAAACATAGGGTGATTTACTTAACGTGCATGTGTATGTAGGGAAACAAGGTTTTCAAACTACTAGATCTGACATCAAGCACATTTCAAAATCTTTTTAAGTAAAAAAAAAGGGTCATGCGCCACTCTCTGAATAAAAGTCTAACTGAGAGGAAGAAATAGAAACTATGAATCACCTCATTCGCAACATCTTCATCATCCTTGTAGCCCACCTTATCCAAAATCTCATGTACTGCAGTCAGATCTCTTCTGGAACAAGCGTCACCAAAAGGTGTTAATGAAACTGTTTCCTCTGATGACAGACTCCTATCTGGTATGCCCATTAAAACATATGACGGTACCTGCTAGATTACACAATCTTCAAACCAAATACATTTCTATGATTCCAACTGGCCTCACTAATATTCATATCAGTAAAGTAAATTTTGATCCTTTATTGAACTGTAATAGAATAACTTGAGACAAAAAGCAGAGTGGGAAAAAGAAGAGCATACCGAAGTTTCTTTCTGAAGAGGGGTCAAAGCAGTCACAAGTGACTTAACATTTGGTCTCTCACGAGGTTCATACTCTAAACAACGTGAAGCTAATCTCACTAACTCAGTTCCATCATCATTTGAAAAATGGCCTTCCAAACATGAGTCCATCAGCAACAGAAAATTTTTGCCTCGTATAAGGTCAAGTGCCTGCGTGTACAGGGATTATGGTACCTCTTTATTATGAAACACTGTACACACTATAGTCATGTTAAGCCAAACCATCACGGGATGTTACTGCAAATCTAGTAAACTTCACCCGTAAAGTGCTGATATTCTAAAGGTCAAAGATTTACTAAACACAATGCCACCTTAAATTAAAATGAACACGAAATGGGAAAGAGGGAATATACATGGCTAGGTGGGATATGCTTTCCACTCAGAAGATCAAGCAATAGGGTGCCAAAACTGTAAACTACACTGTCAGCAGTGATTCTTCCTGCCAAATTTCAAAAATTAGCTCAATTAGGGAATGTAATAAACCAGAAGGCATGAAATCAACAGAAAGGTCCTTTAAAGTAAAACAATATTAAAGAAAAAGCTATATTACCTGTCCTCAAGTACTCTGGAGGTGTGAAGGCTAAATTTGTACTATAGCTTCTGCCATCCCTACTGTTTTTCATGAGTCCAAAACAAGAGAGTCTAGGGTTGCCTTCCTGTCCACCATTGGTACCACATAAGTTGACAAAACATGATGAAAGAGGCACAAAAGAGGTTAAAAAGTCTAAGTACCTGATCAAACAAAATTCTGTAAGCATTAAGATCATGGTACAATGCCCTTCCTTTACTGCTGCAGTATTCCAAAGCTTGAGCTAAATACAAGGCCACCCTCAGCCTCATTGCCCATTTCATAGGCTGGGCTTCCCCTGCGAGAGCAGTTCAATCAAGTCACAAAATCAGGAGATTAAACGGAAACAATATTTCACAAACCGCATCAACAAACACTGGGAAAAAAATTTGAGAGAGCACATCACTCAAATGTGACTACTGATGTCGCTTCCACAGCAAAATATTGAAAATGCCGAAGGGTTTCAACTAAACGACATCAAAATTAGATCTTCTCTTTGGTTGATTGCCCAAGATAAATAAAACAGATAAAAACAAAATAAATGGAAAACTCACAATGAAAAAGATGTTTAGAAAGAGTTTCATTGGGCATGAACTCTGCAACAAGCAATCTTTCTTCTCCCTCGCAACAACACCCAACCAAGTTGGCCAATCTTTCATTCCTCAGTTGCCCCACAGCACGTGCCTCCTCCTGAAAAGTCCAACCAAAACACCAAAATCAAACATAAAATTCCACTCACACACCACACAGACGGAAGAAAAAGTAAAAAGCAAAGCAGAAGCAGCAGCACGAACTATGAATTGTCGAGAATCAGGCCAAGCAGACTTGTTGAAGCGCTTCACAGCAACCAACTTATCATCTTCAAGCCTCCCTTTGTAGACAACATTTGGAGCTTTCTCACCGTGTTCCGAGACAATGTTGTCTGGTGAAAATCCTGAGGTGGCAACTCTCAGCTGATCCAAACTGTACTCACTGAACCCTCCCCAAGGATCCTTCTCATTCCTCTTCCCATCATCATCTGTACCCACAAATCAAAAGCCAAAATGAAGAATTAAAAATACCATCTTGCCGTTGTTTTAGTGTGTTCCCAGTGAAGTGGGAAAGGAAAGTCACCATTATCAGACAAATCATGGAGGTTTGATTTCATGTGGGAAGGCCACCAGCAGAGAGAGAATTTAGAGCAACGAGCTCCCATCTGAGAGAGTGCAATCACACTAGAGAAAAGAAAGTGTGTGTGTGTGTGTGTGTGTGTGTGTGTGTGTGAGAGAGAGAGAGAGAGAGAGAGAGAGAGAGAGAGAGAGAGAGAGAGAGAGTGAATGAGACCCTTTTCCTCTCCAACAGCAACAACTCTCGATGTGTCACTTTTATGGAAGAAGGGATTAGAGAGAAGAAAGATAAGATTACAAAAGTTGAATTAAAGAGGAGTATGGTATAGAAGGGATAAAAGAAAGGAGAAAGTGTAATACGGCGGTGTTTGGGAAGAGAGAAAGTCTGGTGCGAAAAAAGATGGCTTTTTTGGGATCCAAAGGTTTTCTTTTTCTTTGGTGTGTGTTTGCTGTGGTGGTGGTGCTGCTTCTGCACTGAATGAATGATATCAGTCACCTCTTCTCTTCATCATTCCTTCTTTCTTCTCACACCTTTGCACTTCCTTTCTTTTCCACCTTTTCAATAATTATTATTATTATTATTGGGTCTATCATTTTTACTTTTTGAGGTTTATTTGTTTTGGACGGAGACACAACTATCTGTAAAATAGCTTATAATGTCACTTAACAACTTGTTCCAGTTTTTAGCTTAAAAAATCAAACTCATGAAGATAATCATTTAAAGTTTAATGATTCAATGACAACTAATCTAAAATTAATAAATGTATACTTAAACCACACAAAATAATAGTAATTTATAGTATAAGTTTTTACTAATTAAATTTGTAAAAAAATTAATTTAAATATATATATATGGTAACATTGAAGTAAAATTTTACTAAAAGACAATAATGTATAATATGATTACATTTTAAAAAATAAGTTTATTTATTTTCTAAAATATATTTAAATGATATTATATTAAGAATTTTCGATGATCTATTGTTTACTACAAATTGAATTTTTTTCTTTCTTATTCTTTTGTCAGTCTTTCATTCTTTTATCAATTGATAAGGATTAAATATATTGTCTCTTTAATTTTTATAAAAAAAATAGTTTTAATTGTTTTATTTCACGAGTACATTAATTATATTTTCAATCTAAAAAAACACAAATTTGATAATTTTATTACAATAGAAAACTAATCTTATTAATAACTAATTTATTTTATTATAATATTAATACAATTTATTTGTACTTAGAAATGAATACCAATTTTCCGAGAACTTTGAGCGCTTATGAAATAAATATTTTTTCTCCATTCAAAGTTATATTAACTAGACTCAAATTTTATTCCACTTGATTAAAAAATATAAATGGTTTGTTTAATAACTTTAATTTTTTTAAACTAGCTTATTCTGATTAAATATATGTGTATTTTATATTTTTTAAATTCAGGAAAGATATATCAAAATTTAGAAGAGAATGTAAAAGTACCTTCTAAGTAAAAATGTTGTTCTCCCTCACATATTTGACACCCTTTTTAAAATATGTCTTTTTTTTATAAGTTTCATTTAAATTATATATTTTATTAATTAATTTCAATAAAAACACTATTAATTATTTTACAATTTTATAATCTATAAATAATAACGAGACTTTAGATTGTAAATTTTTAACTATAGAAAATATTAAAATTTACTTCTCTGGATTGAAAATTAGTTTCTAGGTAAAATTAAAATAAACACAAATAATGGTATAATGCTAAATCTTTTCAAAGAAAAAGTATACTAATATTAAAAACTATTTTTATACTGAGGCATAATTAGTTTTAATATTTAGATATTTGTGATTTATTTTTTCTTAACTTTTTATTTGTAATTGGAATCTGAACTGAGTCACAATATTATTACCCTTATATTCATCTCCTAATTGTGAGTGGACCTACATGGATAGAAATAATATCAAACAACATAAAAGTAAAGGGTCCCCATCAAAGTAAAAACATTAGTAGCATAACCCATTGCACACCTACATGCATCTGTGGTTGCCCTAATAATTTTTTAGTCCCTTTCAACCCTATCTCTATCTTATACACAGTATCACAAGGATTAAGAAATTTAATTATTTTAATTTAATTAGTGACTTTATATTTGTTATCAATTTATATTGTGCTTTTAGAGCTATCTTTCAGATTATTGTGATTTTTCTATTCTCTTAATTTATAATTAGTTGATTAAACATCCTTAATTAATACACCTGTATTTTTAATAAAAGAGTACAAGTAAATTAATATTGAAGTTTCGAGCATTATTAAATTAAAAATATCTTAAACGGTAATACATTCATATTTAAATTTTGATTATATTGAAATTTTATTTTTGTCAAAATATTATAACGATCTTTTAAATATTTTTAATTAGTGACTTGAGTAATTCCTCGATTTTTGAACAATATCACAAGTCACGTCACTCACGTGAAAGCTAAACAATTTTTCAATGTTTTGCCGGTAAACACGCGTAAACTTAATATGATAAATTTTGAACTTTTCATTACTATTATTATTATTAACAATATCTTGACATAAGATAATTTTATACTATTATCAAGCAATTCAATCTTTCCATAAAAATAATATTTTCAATATATATTAAATACTTGCGAATATTTGGTTCATTCGAGACTTTGTTTATGTCTGTAAGCGTGGAGTGTCAAACTTCAAAGTTGAAATCAAATTTGATTTGACCTAATTTACAAAATACATTGATCTTTTACATTTGTTTTATATATAAATATTATAAATAAAAATGAGTAATTAAAATACATACAATATTTAAATGACATCAAACATACAGGACTGTTAGAATAGATAGTTCAACCTGATTTAATGTTATTTTTTATCATATAAAAAAAATATTATCTTTTAGTTTGTTTATATGATAAAATAGACTAAAATTTTTTAACGGACAGGCATTTTTTTATCTAATTAAAAATATATTTTTATTTATATAATTTTTTTTTGAAAAAATATATCATTTATTTATTTAAAATTAACTTATTATTTTACAAAATAAAATAAAAGATATAAAATCATAAAAATGAGTTATTATATAATCTTGAAGAGTTATAATTGTCCATAAATTAGAAATCAAACATATTTTATTAGAAATATTAAATAACATATCTTTTAATTTTTTTATTTTCATTTAAATACACGTTATAATTGAAGTGTTTGTAGTAATTGGTTTAAAATATCTTATCAAAAATATTAGATAACACATATTTTAAATTTTTATTTTATTTTTTTGTTAAGTACACACTTGTAAATATATATAATTGAAGTGTTTCTAGTAATTGTTTTCGAGTCAAGATTTAAAACTTTATTTATCTCAAAAATTCTTTCATACTCAACAGAGTTATTGAAGACCATGTTTAATAATATATCTAGCAACATCTTGTAAATTTTAGAGTCAAATTTTCATGCTAGTCTTATTATCCAATATAAGACCCACATCATGATACTTTTAGAAATACACTATATTTAAGAATATGTCATCTTAAATTATTGGTCTCTAAAAACAGATGTGATAACAGTAACAAGAAAGAAGATTATGTGTAGAGTTTATTTTTAAATTATATATATATATAACAAAATATATTATCAAATTAATTTATTATACATATATTTTATCCTAATATAATATTTACTTTATTTTATTGACAAAATAATAATTATTTTATGAAACGGATCAACTAATAAATCTATGGGTTAGCCTAACCTAAGCCCATTTAGACCTAACCTAAATAGGTCGGGGCAAAATTTACCTAGTTCTATTTAGGTTATAATTTTTTTTTGCCTAATCTGACCTATTTTTTGGACTGGTCCATCAGATTAAATCTATTTTGACACCCGAAACTATATAATATAAATAAATTATTAAACTTTAAAATGATTTAAGATGGGAAAAATGTTTCTATATATTTCATTAAATAATATTACAATCTGAATGAATTAAATTAAAATTGGACTGCTTCTAACTATTTGTAATTGTTAAAATTACATGAACTATTTCAATAATTATTAACATATATATTATTTTAAGGGATATTTTTTAATTTCATAATTTATAAATCACAAGTATATTTAAAATTAATTTAATTTTTAAAAATTAAATTAAAAAGAAGAAAAAACATTTAGGTTTTGTTGATATGGAAAAATTATAATAATAAGATTTAATAGTTCTCCTCAATTAAAAAAAATGTGTATTTATAAAGATACTCTCTTACTTAAGTTAACATAAGAAAAAGAAAATAGAAAATAGAGTAGAAAAACATATGAAAATGAGATGAAATATAAAGAATAGAGAGTAATCTTATTTAAAGTTCCCTTATCATAATATATTAGGTAGTAAATTATTATGTTTTAATGTCATTTAATATCCTATTAATGTGATACTTTCTCATTTATAAGTGACTTATCATATATATATTTTTTTTGCATTATTATATATTCAAGAAGATTAAATGAGAGAATATTTATGTTTAATATCATATAATTAATGCGAAAATTCAAACATGTACACACGTTTTTCTTTTATAAATCTAATTTTAGTGTGCTCAAATAAGTTGAATAAATAAATTCAATCTATAGGATATTATAAAACTTATTGAGTTATGGTCATATATGTGTTGGTTCATGTGACTCAAATATTTTTTTTCTATTGTAAACATGACTAAGTTAATTTAATGACTATACGCTTTTTTTTTTTACAACTTCTTTTACTAAGTTATATTTTATTTGAACTAATAATTTATAAAATATCATTAAGGGTGAATGTGAGCTTAATTTAGATCTATGATTAAAGTGTGCTCAATTTAGAATTATGGCCATGATATCAAATGTTATGATGTATTATTGCTATGATATAATGATGTGTTATAACAATTGTTATGGTGTAATGATTAGTTCAAACATCAATTATTATGGTGTAATGACATACTTAGACAATTATTATGAAGAATTTAATTAGTTTTTCCTTTTATACTAACTCTCAACTAGAAGAAAAATTTCATAAGCCATATTTTATTTTAAAATATTTACCTTAATTATAGAATGCCTTTAAATGTGTTATCTAAGGGTAATCCATTTATCATTTTGTCGGATCAATGTGAAATACATCATTATCCCAACCAGATGATGGATCTTGACCAATAATCTTGAAGGGGTCAAATAATATATTATCAATAAATAATAAATTAATACAAAAAAAGAATAGAAAAGGGTGAGAGGTCAAATTTGTAAACATTTAATAATTATTAAGTTTTGGAAAATGAAGATCATAAATGCTAATGTAAGTTATTAAACTTTGAGAATAATAATTAAGTTTGGGAGACTAAAATCATAAATATTAATATAAGTTACAAAACTTTAAGTAAGTTATGATCCCCCTTATTTCCCAAGAACCACGGGTCCTAACTATAAGATCATTTATGACTTATATAACCTTATATGAAACAATTTAATGATCCATTTCAGAAATTATCTTCTTTGACTTCTTATACATTTTTACAATTTTCAGTTATATATCCATAATTTTGGTGTCATGTTCATTGTTTAGTCAACTATATTTATAAGTCGAGTTCTCCCTATCTTAATCTCTTATTTGTTTGATTTTGATATTTTCTTCCAGTTGTATGGACTTGGGAGCTCTAACTCTAAACTCTTCTAATGTATTATGATAGTCCTTCTATAGATCATACAAAAATGACCCTTGTTTCAACTTAGTGATCATAGCGTGGATAATTAGATCAAATGATGAATTATGAATGATTATACTTACCTTGGTAAATGACTCTATGAATTTTCTTAAGCACTCATTTTTTTTCTTGTGTTACACCTTTGAGTAAGCGAAGTAGGTCGTTTAGTTGTAAAGTTAGTTTGAGATTTTTTGGATAATTTTGAAATGAATTTATTGAATTATGAAGTAGATCATAGAAATATTTCAGGGTGTTTGTTTCCATGGGCAGATTTATGTGAACAAGGTGAGAGAGTAGATTTGCGTAAAAAATTGTAATTTTGAGAAGCAAATTTGGTTGATTCCACTACAAAATTGCTTGATTACTTTTTATTTGTACAAGAAAGTGAAGATATTAAATTAAATTTATTAAAATAATTAATATATCTTAATTATTTTAAAAATTGTAACGTTTTTAATTAAAATAATAAATAATTAAATAACATATTAAAAAATAGATATTTTTATTTTTGTTTTTTTTTGTATTTTTATTTAGTAATTTTTTAAATTCTTTTATATTTTCTTTAAGTAATTATTCGTAATTCAGTTTATTAAAAATAATAGTAATAATAATATTTATGATAATAAATATATAAATAATAATTATTATTATATTAGTAATAATATTAATAATTATTTTAATATATAATAAAAAATATAATTATAATTTTAAAATAGTTATTTTAATAATAATTTTAAAAATAATAATTATTTTCATCTTAATAATTTAAATAAAAATAATTTTAATTACATAAGTAATTTAGTAATATTTTAATTTGGTCATTTTATAATTTTTTTATTAAAATATTTTTTTTATCATTTATATCAATCAAATTATTTACAAATTCTCATAAACTTTTTTTTGTCATTTCTCTACACTTCTTACCATCTTTTCCTTAATCCAAACAACTCTACTTTCACCTCTTTTTCTCTTCAAATATATTATTTTTCACTTCTTCAAATCTATTATCTAATTCAAACACATGGTCCTATCAACGTCATAGGACAATTCTTCCACGAAAAAACATTCTTTTCTCTAAATATGCTTATTTGTGTAAGATAAGCTCAAATATACTCACAGTTGGGTCAGTACCTCCTCTGAATTTCTCTATATTAGGAGTTTTTCATCTTAAGGGTAAGGGTTTCTCTAATATATCAAGGGTAAAAAGATTTCCAAGTTTTATGATCAATTGAGTATTAAGGGATTAAGTTTACTTTATTCTTGGGGTTGCTGATTTTTCCAATTATCTCAGGTCAATCTTGCGATGAGATTATACTTTTGTATTGTTTCAAGAGTTGTTCTGAGTCATATCTTCATAGATAGGAGATCGGTACCTTGAATGAAATTAGAACCTCAAGAGAGATCGATATCTGGAGGGAGATTAATATCTCCGAGGAGTACTTGACCCTACTAGAAGACGTACTTGTCTCTCTAATTCTTGGTTGTGGCTTCTAAAGACTTTTATTTCTTTTTTACATTCTTTATCAATTTGTGCTAACTCTTCATGGTTTTTACTTTGCAATTTGACAATGTCTTTACATATGTTTGCTTCATATTTCTATTATATCTCCTCCATATCAGATTTCAGACTCGGAATGATCATATTATCATCTATGTCAATCTATGATGAACTAACTTGATTGTTCGTTTGAACCATTAAAAGTGTGGCTTGAGATTAGTTTCATTGAGTCACATGGAAAACTTCAAATGTTTTTGTTGCAAAATTATAATAATGATAAAGTTCATACAGGTTTGTCTCAATGACTATTGCTTTGGAATTGATAAGAGTGAAGCTCTACTAAATGTTGAAAAAAAGATGGAGATACACTTGTAAAGATAATTTGATGTTTTAGTCAATATAAATATAAAAAAATATCTAAAATAAGATGATATGTAAATTGTAGAATAATTATATTTATAAGCATCTTATAAGTAGGGATGGTAAAACGGGTCATTCCGTTACGTTTTGGCTCGCCCCTCTCTAATTCGCCAAAAATAGGACGAGTTCACCAGTCATAATTAAGATGAATTACAAATCTCAATCCACCTCATCAAATAGTGGAGTAACTAGACTAATAAAATATTATTTTTTATATAAAAAAAGTATATATATTTTTAAAAAAATACACCTTGAATGATTTTAATTTTTTATTTATTAATTAATATTTTTACTAGATAAATTAAAAAATTATTATATTTATTTGTTGAAATATCTAATTATAACCAATAATTTACAACGGATTAATATTTATAATTTAAATTATAATATTATAATATATTTATATTTTTAACAATATAATAAAATAAAATATTTTTAATTATAATTATTTTTATTTTAATATATAAATATTATTTTAAAATGAATTAGTCCCCTCATTTTGATTTTTTAAATACACTAATTAAAATAATTATATAATCTGTTTTATCATTTTATTTATCACGATATTTTAAATAATAAATTATATTTATTTTAACGTTATTTAATATTAATTTTTTATAATAAAGTAATTAAATATATTTATTTTATATATTCTTACAATATTAATATATATTTAAGAAAACTAAATAAAAAAATATTTTTATTTAACGTAATTAATGTGAAAATTTGAATAGAGGTATGCTTTAATTTCTATCCGGAGACATGGACTGTGGAGATTTGGAGGTGTAATTCCTGCCACTGTTGCATTGAATGTGTCATCATATCCTTCATAAGAGCACCAACACATTTGACACAAATGGTCCCTTGTTTTCTTTTAAGACCTCCACTAAAAATGCATCTCTCTGGGGAGACACACCCCTACATTGTTAAGCAAAAATCCTTCCCAAAAGCCTCTTTTCTTCATCAACCTTTCCACGTATCACTCCCTCACTATTTTTTATCCACGGAACAAAACTACCTTGCAAGTTCGGGTTTGCATGATTCAGAGGTTTTTATAAATTTTCTCAAGATTTCAGCACAAACACTGAGGATGCACTCTTGGATTTGCCAGGGAAATGTCCAACATGGCTCTGAACAGAATTCTGTGCTTTCAGATGAATCTAGAAGAAAGGAATCTCTGTTCTTTGTTTTCACAAATCCAAACCCACGTGTTAGACATGATAAAAACAACATAAAAATTATAACTACCAAAAATTAACAACATGTTATTGTATATATTGATATTTTTATTTTAATAACAAATAGATTCTAAAATCATAGATATTATCAAATACAGAGAATCATTTTGCTTATACTAATGATTATATTAAATACTTTTATACTGACTATCCATATAAATCAAACTGATCCCTTTTAGATAAAACCATGTAAAATTCAAATATCTAATATGTTTAGACAAAAATAGTTTTATATAATTCATATAACATTTATGTGTAAAAAATAGGAAAAGGTGACAAATTTTGTGAAACCTGATGGCTGGGTGGATGCAGCAACAATGGTGAGGTAGGTTTGGGTTTCACCAATGAGAGTGTGGAAAAAGGAGTACAGAAGCTTGTGTAATACTAATGATGTCTTGGTTTGAGACCACTCTCATGTAATTTGAGTCTTTGTCATTGAAAGGGAAGGACATAGGACATGTCATGTTATTAATGCAGATTAATAGAAATGGTAAAAACTGCAGAAGCTTTTCACTGCAAAGTAAATCAAGAAAAGCATGTGATGTAACAAACAATGACTCTCTGTACCATGCATATAGATGCTTGCACTTTGCTTAATCCCCACACCCACACCACCACCACCATGAGAATTTAGATGTAAAATGGGAAGTCAGGCCCAATTGTATGTAGGCCCATTGTATGCAGGCCCCATCCGACAACATTATACTTATCCATTTGATTAAGAAAGGAGAAAGAATTTGTACTCTCTTGTAGTTTGGAGAAGTTGACAAAGGTAAAGGAATTAATTAGTAGTACCTTCTAGTGTTCCTTACGGTGTGGGAGTGAGTTTGGTTTCATCTCAGTACAGAAAACTTTGAAAGATGTCAATTGTTCCGATGAACCAGGGTGAGGGCAACCCCTCCAATCCCTTCGCACTGTGGGATCCTTTCCTCGATTTTCCTCTCCCTCCTTCCATCTCCAGCTTCTTCCCCGGTTTCGAATTCGGATCCGGGTCGTCGGTGAACACACGGGTCGACTGGACTGAGACACCCAGAGCGTACGTGTGGAAGGTGGCGCTTCCAGGCTTCACCAACGAAGACGTGCTGGTGGAGCTCCAAGACGAGAGGGTGCTGCAAGTGAGTGTGGAGAGTGGGAACTTCATGACCAGATTCAAGATCCCCGACAACGCAAACCTCGAACAACTCAAAGCCAACATGCGTCACGAGGTTCTCGTTGTCACTGTTCCCAAGCTTCACCGACTCCCTCCTGGTCCCGCTAACAGGAATGTTAGGGTTGTTCAAATTGACGGCACCGACTGAACCCTTCTTCAGATGACAACCTTAGTGAGCAAACTCTGTTTTTTCACTAAGTCTGAAAAAAAATAAAATCATTGTCTTTCTTATTGTCTTTAATCATATGGTGTAAGTTTATGTGTCGGGTCAAACTCTGTTTTGTAATATATGTGTGGGATGCGCTGCTATATTAGGTTAAATTAAACCGATATAAATATTATGTACATGTAAGTGCATGTTTGAAAGTGGATGGATTAATCTTGCTCTATGTTTAGTTTGGTGTCCTCAAATGGCTTACTTAGATTAACCTGAAAGTGGCAATAGGAGGACCCAGTTCAATCACTCGCTCCAAAGGTTGTTTTGACATTTCTCAGAATCCATGCTATCTGATAGCTTTTTTCATTGAAATGTTTTTCAAATGACTAATTCATCAGCAATAAATCAATAACCTTTTGATGTATTGGGAATAATGGATCTTGACAACAGTTGTGGTGAAATTACTGATTCTCAAGGTTGTCTTCCTCATCAATGTGCTTCTGACATATTACCATAACTTTCTTTGTTATGTCTACCATATAGAAGTGTTCAATATATAGAATTTAGAATTCTCTGCTATACCAACTTGGAATTTGGATATTGCATCATATCATCGCAAGGATTATTGTCTGATCTTTCCTGATACCAAAATACGTAATGAGACGCCATTGATGAAGCTTGACTTAAGCCTGCCTGAAAAGGTAATTGTAGAGCAGACTTTGGCATTGTGTTTCTGTTGAACCAGTTGGACAATTATTTTTTGAGTGTTGATATTTTTAAACCACAATAAAAAAAAAAAATCCTTATCTATTAATATTATATTCATAACGACGTTAGTGTTCAGATGTGAATTTATCTTTTTCTTTATCTTTTTAATTATTTCCATTTGAAAGAGACAAGAAAATCAACATCTCTTCAATGGATTCCATTTTTCTAAAGAAAGGACAAAAGAGGAAATATACAATTGATATTTCAAAACATTTATGGTTATTTATTATAGGTATGCAGGTGATATTTATATATTTATATTTATAGTTCATTTTCTCATAAACAACTAGTGTTATTTGTTTTATCCTTTTTGAAGGTTTTGTTCTGGTTTGAAAAGTCAGATAATTGCTTTATTTCATATTTAGCACTATTTTTAAAATATTTTATTTCAAGATATTTTCAAATATCTAACCAATTTGTCAGTTTTTATTCAAACAAAAATTGAAAACAGACTAATCAAATAGTAGCTTAGCTTTCATATTTTTTAACACATTCTTTCTTAACTAATATATATATATATATATATATATATATATATATATATATATATATAAACACATTTTTATGGATTAAAATATAAATAAAAGATTGAGTGATTCAATTTATACCATGTTACTTCCAAATATATTTTAAAGTTAATGTAAAGTTGAATATCGTCTCTTGGCTGCTATAACCATGATTAAAAGTAGTTTGAGAAATATAATTTTATATATAATCACACCAAATAAACTAACATCATTAATCATTGTAAAATTAAATATTTTTTATATATGGATGAAGAAAGAGTATTACTTTTGCATTTGATAATGGTGCATTAATGAATTGAAAGGAGTAAATGTTACCATTTAATAAGGACAAATGGTGGAAAAATCTTATCCAAATTTAATATTAATAAATATCCAAGATTCGACTTGATTCGGTGGCACCAATCTTCTTGGTCTTGCCACGTGTTACGATTTCTAACTCCAATAATAATTTACTAATAAAAAATGTTAATTAGACTTGAAGACGAAAGGGACCCCTAAGAAATTGTTTGTAGATCTTTTCACTGTTGAGTTGCATGTAATTTTTAATTTCCATTAACCATGCTTCTTTCATGTACTGAAATTGATTCTGCATATTCATCATTTTTGGGGTTTAAGCATTCATAAATCACCTCCATGATCACTTTCTACTCTTCGTTACTTAATTATTTTTACAAGCTGTTACTTGCTAGTTATTTGGGCTAAGAAATTAGATGTTCACTGATAAGATACTCTTTACCAACCCATTCAAGGCAGCATAGGAAGATCCACCTTTCACAGCTATCTTAATTTCATTCTTCAATTTCAATGCTCTCTGTCTCATCTCCTTTCCTTCAGGATTCACCATCAATCTTCTCACTGCCCCTTCTATTGCACCCCTTTCCATCACAGTGGACCACTCTAGGCCTATCTTCCATACATGGCTCAACAACCTGGCATTTACCCCCTGATCTCCAAAATGAGGCTGGCACATTATTGGCACTCCTTCACACAAACTCTCCAATGTAGAATTCCAACCACAATGGCTCCAAAACCCTCCCACAGCTTGGTGTGCCAAAACCTCACCCTGAGGTGCCCATTTCACAATGCAACCCCTTTCTGCTATTGCCACTCTAACATCTTCAGGCAATAATTGTAGCCATTCTGAAACATCACCGATTGTCCCTGGTCTAATAACCCAAAGGAACTTCTGTTTGCTATTTGCTAAGCCCCAAGCCACTTCAGTTAGCTCTTTCTCTTCCCAACTAGCTATGCTTCCCAAACTCACATACAACACAGATTCTCTTGGTTGGTTTTTGAGCCAACCTATGCAGCTATAATCTTCTTCCACAAAGCTACTACTAGAGGAATCTTCTTCAGCAAGCAAGTGTAGAGGGCCTATGGGGAAGAAACTGACTTTGTACACTTGGTGTAGCCGATACAAGGACTCCTCTTCAAGGCAATCTACTGTGTTGCAGATAACACCCAAAGAAGGTCTTACTGCAATTGTTTTAGCAACTTGTTTCTGCATCTCACCCGAATTGAACATTGGTAGGTCTTTGAATCGGAGTGGTTCAAGTTCTGGCACCAAGTCCGACGACATAGAATCTGCATTCGACGTGGTAGTGCTTGTTTCGTTACCACTAAAACCATGGCGGTGATCACAAATGAAAAAAAAAAAAAAAGGAAAAATTGCTTTTGATTGGTTCTTTAATTTTGGAATCATTTGAGAAAAGCCAAATTTTAGACTTTTCATAATAGAATTATAGACGTACAATTTGCTAAAAGTTTAACAAACTCATTCCATTTAAATTTAACAGTACTTCTTCTCTAAACCAATTATTTTCAATCTATGTTTATATAAAATATTATTTCAGCTGCAAATCATTATAGAAAATATAAAGGATTATTCAATTACATATCATTTGGCAAAGTCATATGAGTTTATGATAATTGATACCTTGCAAGGGAAGGCAGCCACTGCTTTGTCTCTGAACAAACGCATGATAAGTGAGAAAATTAGTAGCACTAGTGGTTCTGAGGACTATGCTGGGTAGTTTGAGTTCTCTAGCCACAGAATCAATGGAATACATTAATCCATCATAGATGACGCAAGCGATCTTTTCATGGTTTATATTTGCTTTCTGAATCTGATCAACCAATAACTCTTTAATTGGAGATACACAATTGGTATTTAAGGTTGCAGTAATATCTACAACATTGTTGGAGGAGATGTGGGTATCAGATAAACCATAGAACAAGGGTAGAAAACAAAAGTTAGGGTGATGAGAAGGATCGGGGTAATTGAAGTGGGCATGTGCCACGGATATGGCGAACCCTTTTGAATGAAGGATGGTAGCTAGCTGAAGCATTGGAGTTAAGTGGCCTTGAAATGGTGGTGGTATTAGAACCAAACGGAGCCTTTGAATTTCCATCGTTTTAGACAAGAGTGTTGTGTGCTACTTCAATATGTCTAAGAAATTGTGGTGAAAAAACATACGGGTACAACCTCTTCATATACCAATTTCTCCGCCAGGTTCATGTATCTTTCACACAGTGAAAACATTGCCCCTTCTCTGTCTGTATTGACTTGTAATCAACGACTTTGAAACTTCAACAACGAATTTGTAGTATGGATTTCACACGCAACACCTATTACATGGCTTCAAGGAGCCTATGCTGTGAAGGTGCACGACTCTGAAAACTCGTGTACTTGGGTCATTAAAAATATTTGACCAAGCCAAGTCCATTTGTTGTTACCATCTAGTCGGGTACCAGTAGCATCATTAGTCATTTATTTAAGACATTGTACTCGACATTGAAATCGAAGTTCTGGTGACATGAATAGTTTTAGTGTTCCAAATTTACCCCATGTTTGACCCTGTGTCTCGTGAGAGATTGCGGAAAACAAAATTGTTATATGGGCATTTAAGTACTTATGACATACCTGATGAACTATTAAACCATTAATTAACTTTCATGCATGTTTGGTCGCCGTTCTGGTGCTCCATGTGGCTCTTTTCCATTTCCAATCCTCTTTTCCACCGACTTGTACTAAGCTAGCTCATCTTAGTTTGCCATAATTACCTTGATTTGGGTGTTATTCCGATAAGATTTTAAAGTAACGTGTGTTTCCTTACTTTTGTTCATTTCATGATGACGATATTCCATGTCACCAAGATTTCTCTAACCTTAACTGCTCATTCAGCTTTCCAGCCACCCTCATACAACACAATCTCCCTCATGCAATCAACTTTAATGGCCAAATGTCAGGGTTTTGCACGTGGAGCATTATTTTCAACTTTTAAAACCTTATTGTCCTACTAGATCAACTTTCATGTCTATCTATATATACTTAATAGTTTTAAACTTTCATAGTTATCTATATATTTATAATTTTCTTCCTTATCATTAAATATATTTATAATTTTAGGTTTTCATTTAATTCATTCTTATAAATATTAAAATAAATTATTAAATATATTAAATAAAAAATATTTTACATTATCTTATATTTCTATATTCTTTTATTATTTATTATTACATATTTGATTAATGTTTTCATTATTTTTAATTATAACTTCTTTTGATAATTAAATAATAATCCGTCAATTTTTTATCACCATCAAAATTTATCTTTAAGGTCTCTTGGATAGAAAAGAAAACAAAGTGTGAGGAAAAACAATAAAAGAAAAAGAAGAAAAGAGAGATGAAATAATA